GGTTCCTCTTCCCAGCCCCGTGTAGGAGCATCCAAGGAAGGGGCTCTCTGCTGGTAGAAGGTGGTGAGTGCTCTGCAGAGCCCCCCAGAGCAGCCCTGCCATGGAGCAGCAGCCTCCTTCCCTCCAGGGGCCAAACTCCTCCTCTGAGCTGGGGCTGTGAAGCAGCTTCTGAGTGGCACCATTTGGATGCACTTAGGACTTGGAGGGAAACGAAGGATTTAATCAGCACATTAGTAATGCAATATGTGGCTTTACTCAGTCCAGATGGCTCAGCAGGCTCTTGGTGTTTAGAACAGATTAGTTAATTAAAATAACCACCCAAGGACTAACGAACTGGCCGTTAAGATGTCTACACTGTCCTCTGGAAAGGTCTGAACCTTTGTTGGGGGGGGTTGGTGCTAAAGAAACGAGCACAGTGTTGGGCAAGGTGGGGAGAAACAAGCAGGGAGTGGATGTGCTGGGAGGATGGATTTTGGAACCTCTAGAGGCATCACCACCTGCCTGCCCTGGCCAGTGCCTGGGGACTCACGTTACCTGCTCATTAGACAGAACAAATTTCCCCTGCCACCCTAAGGATGAGATTTTTGTGACTCCTCAGCATCCAGCAGCTGCCATTGAAGAGGAATTCCACCTGCCTAGCAGCAGCATCACCCAGAGACTGGGGTAGGAGCCATTCTGAAGGGCTGAGCCTTTCTTCATGCAGCTAAGAGAGAGGCTGAGGCCTCCTGGAGGTCTGTCCCTCCCTGCAGATCTGCTGCCACCACGGACACTCCCCACAGGACACTCACTGCTCACTGCAGCAGAGCCCAGGAGAGGATCCCTCAATGAGCAGTGCCAGCCCTGAGGAGCCTCAGAGGAGGCAGGACCCTTCCTCTGCTCTACTGCGACCTTAAGGACTGAGCCACCAGCAGCAGAACCTCCAACAAACTGCCTTTAAAGCTGTGGCACCATCCCAGCAGGAAAACTCAGCAATTCCATCTCTCCAAAGCCCGTTTTCACTGGCAAGCTGCAAAGCTGAATTCCTCTGCTGGGTAGGCTGTGCTGGATGGGAACATCCAAAACGTGGTGAGGGCCAATAAAGCCCTTTAAAGGGAAACAAACCTTGGGTTGGGTGTTTGGTGGAACAAAGCATCCAGAACAGCAGACTAAATGGAACAGGAAAGTGTTCTTGTAACCAAAACAAAGGATATTTGTGGTAGTTACAAGGAAGTGGGAGCAGGGGGCAGGTTTATCAGCGTGCTCAGGCGACTTCTCCCCTGTTAGATGTGGTTTTGTGGTTGGTTGGACTCTTGGGAAGCCAGCTGCCTGGCCCACGACCTGCACCACCCCAGCAGGTCTCCAAAGGGCTCCAGATCTCTGGTGATCCATCAGTCAGCTGAAAGGAGCCGTCAGCTGGGTAGGTTTGGAAAGGTTTTCAAGTTCAAATCTACCCAAAAGTGTCCAAAATGTCACTGAGCATCAGCAGCTGTGTCTATGAAATTCAAGTGGGAGTTGCTGTCTGGCCCTGTAAGCACCTCTGGTTAGGGTGTCACAGACACACAGGTCCACTTAGGGGAGCTCTGAAAACCAGGAGTGACACCCCCAGGCCTGTGACCAACAAGGGGCTGGTGGCCACTGCATGGGTCACTGCATGGTAACGAGGGTGGTCCTGGGGGGGGGGACAGGGGACAGACATCAGTGGGTTTTGGGTTCTCTTGGGTTTTGGGGCACAGGGATCTTGCACCCCACAGCTCAGGGGAGATCCCTGGGGAGCCTGCCAGGTGGTGGGCACAGAAAGGACCTGGGAGAAAGAGGATCACAGAGTCCCAGCCTGGTAGGGGGTGGCAGGGACCTCTGGGGATCATCTCATCCCCCCCCCTGCTCCAGCAGCTCACCCACAGCAGGGTGCCCAGGGTCACAGCCAGGAGGGTTTGGGATCTCTCCAGAGCAGGAGACTCCACAGCCTCTCTGGGCAGCTGCTCCAGGCTCTGCACCCTCAGAATCCCAGGGAATGACAGAGGAGCAAGGGAGGGAAGCAGGCTCAGCAGGGGACACACAGGTCATTCACACAGCTGAGAATTCCACCTCTTCCACTTGTTTTGAGCCTGTCACATCCAGGAAACAACTTCTAACTGGCTGGAAAAAGACACCCTCAAGTGACCCCATCTCTGCAGAGCTCCTTCCTTCAGCA